TACCAATATCATTTTTTTTAACTTACAGACTCCTGTTTTCTTAAAAAATAAACATGCGTGAAGGATGAATGTACATGTGTGCCCAAAGATGCTTTTAGTTAGAGGTAGGGTGTGGAAGCTGGAGGAGGAAAGGCAAGACCAGAGATATGGGTTGCTGCTGCAGTTGGAGTAATGGGGGAAGCAGCAGTCGAGTGGGAGTCTGGGGTGTGGCGGTGCTGCAAATTAACACATATGGTCTATGGGCTGCTAGTTAGACAGTAGGGCTGTGCGAAACGGCATCGTTCCAGTTTGACTTGCATTTTGACATTTCGATGGAACAGCATTTCACTTTGAATTTTGGTTCAATTCGAAACTGCTGTTCTGTTTTGTTTTGTTGAAACAGTTTTACTGTTTTGACGCTGTTTGGATGTTTTGCCCATAGGCTATAACGGGGAAGCTTAAAACAGCCTATAACTTCATTATTTCTGGCCTGATTTGGATGAAACTTGCAGGACTGGTAGCCCCTTCTGAGGGCATGAAGCCTGCCAAGTTTCAAGGAGATAGGTGCAGGGGTTTGTGGAAAACTGCACCACAAGCTGTGGACAAGCAAAACTTGTGACATGGGTGACACTGTGTGTGTTAAGGCGCAGCAGGGTGAAAACTGCAGGCATGGTAGCCCCTGCTGCATCCATGAAGCCTGACAGCTGTCAAGGAGATCGGTGCAGGGGGAGTCTGGGTTCTGGGGCCCTGCACCTCTACCTGCTGACAGGCAACACTCGTGGCATGGGTGGGTGACACTGTGTGCATGTTAAGGTGTGCCCTCACTCAACTGACACCAAGGCAGAAAGCAGAGCAGTTCAAACAATGCTGCCTTTTATGTAGTTTTTCCATCCCTCCTCCAGAGCACTGGGATTGGAAGGGACCTCAGGGAAGGATCCCAGTCACTGGCCAGTTACACAGTCAATATGAGAGTACTCCTCCCCACCCCCTCTTCTCCCCTCCTCTCCCTCCCTTACTTTAGTTTCTGTTTCCCTGCAGGCAAGCCCAGCTTGAGTTTTGAAACTCAAAACATTTCAAAATTTTTTAAACGTTTCGACTTGCCTTGTTTCGAGGCTGTTTTGAAGATCTCTGTTTCATTTAAACAGCCATGGTGAGCTCGAAACGAGTTGAAACAGTGTCAAAATGAAACTGCCAGCAAAATTTCTCACAGCCCTATTAGACAGCTACGATAAATCAAATGGTATTCATTTCCCGCATTCACAGTGTACAGTCTGCATATGCTCAGCTCTGCCCCAAAAATTAAATAGCAACAATATTTTGATGGGACAAGAGTGTGCTTTGTAGACACAGTTGTCAGTAGGCAGTGGTGTGCTGCATCCTCCCAGTAGGAGCACAGGCAGACATTATATTTCAGAAAGGCAGTGCCTCCTCAGCTTCTCTTTAGGCAGAAGGTATCTATTGCACCACCCTTTGGGAGGGTGCAGCATTTGATCGTTATCATGACTAGCCAAGGAAATTATCACTCTGTCTCCTCCCTGTTGAGTTGAGGGCACTGAGCCACAGAAGCTACTGACCCTCTGCTCAGCAGAACTCAAAAATGATACTTGCAGCAGGCCCCTGGGTAAAGAGAACATGGAGAAGGAAAAAGCTCTTTATGCTTTTCCTTCTCTGAGCATCAGAACAAAGTTCAGGCACAGCCTGGAAAATGCTCTGCTCCAAGGTAACTCACAGGATCAGATATTTTCTACTAAAGTCACAGTTACCGGTAATGGGAGAGAAGGAGGGGCTGGAGCTGTACCTTATTTTGCCACACACTTCCCTGTCTATCCCGGATACAGTGAGGCATCATAGATCTTCCACCCCAGTGGCAAGTTTCAGTGACATTCTGCTCCATGACTGTCCTACTGGGAGTGACCAGGAGGAATTGAAGCCTGGAATGGTAAACCGCGTCCCCTCCACAGGTAACATGGGAGGGGCATACACTGTGTTAGGAGGCAGGCATGCTGAGTGGAGAAGGATGTGAAGAACCAGTGAATTAGATCCTGCCCTCCCAGGAGCCCCAGTACACAGACCCCTTACCTCTCTCATCAATGCATATTCCATACATACGGAGGATGTTTGGATGTTCAAAGATCTTCATGGTTTCAATCTCCTTCTTGAAAATGTCCCTCACTGTTCTGCAAAAAGGCAGTAGTGCAATCATATATCAAGATATGGAGACTCTAGGGGAGCCAGTGGTGCAGGGTCACAACTCTTCAATACAATCCAGTGGTTGGGCTGATATCAGTGACACATCCTCCAACCCCATCCATTCCCCGCAGGAAGTGATGTCATCTCCAAGTCTGAAGCCCAATGCTGCTGAAGGCCAATGCCTTCCAGAGGGGTGTCATCCTTTGGGCTGGTGTTAAAAGTGAACTAGAGATATTTTATCCAAATAAACCAAGTGTGAGTATAAGTAGGGAGCATATTAACCTACAGACGAAGCTGCTTGGATGCCTCAAAATCAAAACAAAAACATAGAAGCAATAGAAGATAGGCAAGTCACTAAAGAAGCACACCAAGAAATAGCAAGAAATTGCAAGGAGAAAGTCATGAAGAAAAAGGTAAAAAATAAGTTGCACCTGGAGAGGGAAGGTAGGAACAACAAAAAGCTGTGGGTCCACTGCTAACCAGCCATGGTGAGCTCTTAACATAAGATGCAAAGAAAGCAGAGCTGCTCAACAGCTACTTTGCTTTAGTCTTTACACATGAATACACAAAAGCTGCAATGAGACAGCTAGTGAACTCTGAGACAGGAGCTCTGGAGGCTTCAGGGACCCTCAAATTCCCAGAGCATTTGCTCAGGTCTTCCCCACTTGCAGAGAGGAACCCTAGGGTATCTTGGGGCACCCCTTGATGTGGGGGGGGGAATCAGGGGTTCCCTGTTTGCAGAGACCCACCTCCAATATCCAAGGGTGATCTTCATAAGTAGTGAAAGTTCATAGGTCCTGGTGTGGCGGCATGGAACCCCAGGAATTCCTAGTGTCCTGTGCCTCCACTGGGGACCCGGTTATCCAGACCTGCCCCTTGGACCTCCAGGGACCCATCTGGGTAAGCAGGGAAAGTCAGACTTTCCCTGTTTACCCAGACATGCCCCTGGAGGAGACCCTAGCAGTGGATCTGGATGAGCAGGGAAAGCCCCACTTTATCTGAGGATTCAGACCCACTCCCAAGATCTCTGGGGACACATCTGATTAAGCAGGGAAAGCTGGGCAGGCACTCTCCAGGCTTGATGGGCCTGACCCTACCTAGGAATTTCTGGTGTTGCACGACCAGCCCCCTCAAGCCATGGGAGAACACAACACCTCTAGTCCCACACCATTAAGGGCAGAATAAGGGGCAATGTGTATTTTGCCCAATTAAGCAGATCAGTTGTGCTCCTGCATACCACACACAGCTGATCATCTTCATTTGGTGACATCTATTTCTAGACCCAGAGCCCTTGGAAGTTATATTTACCAAGTCATGGAAGATGGGCCAGGTACCAGAGGACTGGAAAAGGGCCAGCATAGTGCCACTCGTTAAAAAGGCAAAAACTTTAATACCCAGGAAGTTACTGGAGAAAATGATAAAGAAATGCATTTGTAAACATCTGAAGGAGGAAAGGCTGATTATGACAGCCAGCATGGATTTGCAAAGAATAAATTATGCCAGACAATTTGATCTTCTTCTTGGGCAAAGTAACTAGTTAGGGTGGATGCACTGGATATAGTGTATTTGGGAGTCAGAAAGGCTTCTGTCCAAGTCCCACACAACCTGCTCATAAACACACTAAAGAAACACAGGGCAAACAAAAACTACAATAAGGTGACTAGAGTAGCTTGCAAGCTACCACAAGATGCCTTAATAGCCAGAAGCAAAGGGTAATTCTAAATGGATCACTGTCAGAAAGGCAGGAGGTTTCAAGTGGAGTCCTATGAGTAAGGACCTACCAAAATTGTGGCAGTAGTGAGCTGTGTGGCAGCTCCTTTAATTTTGCAGTTTCCCCTGCACACCCGCCAGCCACTTGCCTCTGATCAGTGGGAAGGCAAAAACCATGGTTTTAAATCCAGTGTGGTTTTGCCTTCTGTCCGATGGGTTGAGGGGCCTTGGTGGCCCTGCTGCTGACTGGGGAGGAGGCAAAAACTGTGCCATATTTAAAATCACAGTTTTCATCTCCCTGCTGATCAGGAGCAAGCAACAGGGCCCCTCTGCCAATAAGCAGTTGCAGGGGTATGGTGGGGAAACTGCAAGGTTAAAGGAGCTGCTGCACAGTGCACTTCTACTGCAATGTTGGTAGATCCCTATCCACAAGGGCCTGTCCTGGGTTCAGTGTTGTTTAACATATTTCTCAATTATTATTTGAGTATAGGAAAAGAGAGTTTTCTGAGTATATCTGCAGACAGTATAATACTGGGAAGGACTGCAAACTTAATGGAAGACAGAAGTAGAATTCAGAAAGATCTTCTTGAATTAGAAAGCTGGGCTAGAGCTGACAAGATGAAGTTTAGGGAAGAATAAGCAAAAGCACAAATACAGAATGGGGGATACCTGGCTGGGTATATCTCAGCAGTGCTGAGATGGATCTTAAGGTTTTGATCAAGATCTCAATGTGAGTCTACAGTGTGATGCAGCTACTAAAAAGTGAATGCATGTTTGGGCTGCATCAATAGGAGTAGTAAGTATAAGGCACAGGAGGTGATAGTGCCATTCTGTTCAGTACTGGTTATACTTGTTCTAGCCCATTGTGTGAAGTTCTGGGCTCCACATCTTAAGAATGATGTAGAAAATTTAGAGAGGGTCCAAAGCCAGGCAAGTAAAATGATAAAGAGTTTGGAAGGCAATCTATATGAGAAGTTGAGAGAAATAAGCATGTTTAGCTTGCAGTGAAGGCAACTATGGGGGACATGATAGTAGTCTTCAAATATTTGAGAAGCTGCTATGAAAAAGAGGGTCATCAACTTTTTTCCCCTCACTTTAGAGAGAAGAACATGTGGCTATGACTTAAAATGGCAGTCAAGTTTGTTTAGAGTGGATATTAGGAAAAACTTCTTCACTGGTAGAACAGCAAAGCAGTGGAATAGATTGCCTAGGGATGCTGCAGAATCTCCTTCACTGGATGTTTTCAAGAAGAGATTGGATAAGCATTCATCAGAAGTAGCAATACCTGGAGTGGTCTGTGAAGAGCACAAGTAGGATGCCTAGGATACCACCACACAGGTCTCACTCAGAGTTCACAAGAAAAACTCTGTAGCCAAAAGCAGATGGAAACTGGAGAGGACCATGCTCAGCAACCAAAGGATGAAGCGGTGGTTACAAAAAAAAGCTTAAAGGAGCTGGGATAAGTTTACAAGGGGGGAGGGATGTATGCTGATAGAAAGGCTCTGGCTCTCCAATCAGGGTGTGAGATACATGGAGTTGTGCTTGTGGTCCCTAGGCTACAACACACAGAGGATGACATTTGGTTGTTCCATGCTTCTATGCTTTGTTGGTCACCACAGAGGGCTGAGAGGTTTGTTTGCAAGCTTTTTAAGAATTGGTTTAGACTAATATTTGCCTAGAATAGTTTGCATAGGGATGCTCCTACTTTGAGCAGGGGGTTGGAAAAGATGACCTCCTGAGGTCCCTTCCAGCCCACTTTTCTGTAATTCTATGTCCTTCCCCTCAATTTTTCCATTGCTTCCTTTGTAGGGCTTCAAAAAGCAGACCCCCAAAGAGATACTAGTTTCTTACTCTCTAGGAATATTACTTGTCAGTGAGATGGCTGCCATTATTCACTGGCTGTGGAGATTTGTGTCTGTGCCTGCAAGGAACCCAACTTTTTAATTTCAATACATTCACTCTTTACTTTCCACTGAAAATTCTGAAGAACCTCAGAAATCACTCCACCCGCCTCCTCATGGTAAAAGACTATGCCCAGTCTTTGAACAGTAAATGTCATCACTAGCAGAGGGAATACCAGGACATCTCACAGTGCCAGTGAATACTTGGAGGCAGCTGTTTGGGGAAGGAAAGGTTAAATAAATAATGGCCTTAAATGCCATTGTTAACTTGGACCTCTTTCATCAGCATTGCTGCTTAATTTGCAATTAAATTCTTCACATCCCTTGCATCCCCTTCTGCACTTACAGAAAGCAGAGGCCCATTCACATTCTCCAGGTGCTAGAAGACAGCTGCAGAATCCTTCCTGACATGCCATTTCCCAGTAAGCCAAGGCTGTGTTTGTGTTAAGTTAAATTGCTGTTTTAGCCTTCCATCTTCTCTGTGTTTCTAGTATCTCTCTCTCTCCCTACTTTGCAAAGGACTATCAGTTATGTGTGGTACTTTTGAACATCAAAAGAGTCCAGATAAAGAGCATGTGTATTAAACTATCAGCTTTAGCTCCTTTGTCAAGGACTGCATTGTCTCTTTAATGCTGGAGCCTCTCTCAGCAATACACTAAGTCAACAACTGCAACTCCTACACAGTTATTTCCCCATTTATTTTGGGATCTTTGTTAAAAACTCACATGGCACAGGTGATTACTGGGTTTTGGAAGACTTTGATGGCAACAGGGCATTTATGGTACTCTCCTTTGTAAATCACATGGCTTCTGGTTTCCATCAGGAGGGTCCACGGTGTCTTAATTAGATTCTCTATCACAATCTCAGCTATTTCTGGACCTGCGTTGTCTTTTTTCATGCTTGATTCTTCTACAACTAAAAAGAGGAACAAAGAAAAGGAATCTAGATGATGCTCTTGGTAAGAAACATATCAGCCAGGATCTTACAGACAAAGGATGAGCTTACATGACCATTACTTCTATTTAGAGGAGTGAAGGATTTCAAGATTGTTGATATGATTGTCTAGCCCAGGGGTGGGCAAAAAACGGCCCACAGGCTGGATCTGGCCCACCAAGCCATTCTATCTGGCCAGCGGGGCCCCTAAACAATTTAGAAAATATTTATCTGTTTTTGGCTGCCTGTCAAAGATAACAGAAGCCAGGGCAGTAGGACCCAGGGGGAGTCATCAGCAGGACCGGGTCAGCCTAGCTCTCCCCCACCCCCAGACATTTCCCTGCCTTCTTGCTCCCCCATTGCTCCAGCACCATGTGGCTCCCAACTGCATTGCAGGACTTGGGAGCATGGGCTGCACTGGTACCCTAGGTGTGTGTGTGTTTGTGTGTAGGGAGGGACTCTGTGTGTGTATGTGTATGTGTGTGTGTGTGTGTGTGTGTGTGTGTGTTTGTAGGGTGAATCCCACACACACACCCCACCATACACATACACCCATACACTGTTCAATATCTTCATCAGTGATTTGGACGAGGGGGTGCAAAGCACCCTGTTCAAGTTTGCTGATGACACTAAGATGTGGGGGGATGTGGGCACAATAGAGGGGAGCATCAGGCTGCAGTTGGACCTAGATAGGTTACAAGGATG